ATATGTTTATTGAAATAGTACAGTAAAAATAGAATTTAACATTGCATGAAATTTCCGATTCAATTTTATTTTTTATGAGGTTTAGGATCACTTATTCAGCATAAAATCACAAAATGCCGACAGATCCAGGTGGCGCTTCAAGCGCAATCTTGAAAAAACGTTTTCAGCCGATATCTCGGTAACTATGCACTGTAAGGCAAAAGTTATACAAACAATTATTGTAGAAAATAAAATTTCGCATCTTTTGTTTCCAGCAAACTTTTTTGTAAAACTTATCGTTTACGATTTATGGCTCATTTAATGAACCGGTTTTTCTATCTCGCGGCCAATAACTCTTGAAATATTAGATTAATCAATAAAATACATAAATTTATTTTGAAAGATCAGTTTATTTTCCAAAACTTTTGTTTGAAACTTTTTTTTCTAACATTCATACTTTTTTGAGTAATAGGACGTTTCATGTCACGCATAGCTGCCAGCGTCACCCGCCGAGCTCGGCCGACACTCGGCAGGTGACGCGGCAGCTACTTTATGATTAAGAACCCGGATTTTATTGCTATTATTTCGGGGAATTCCAAGTAAGACATCATTATTGTTTACTAACTACGACTTACGGAGTCTCATTTTTGAAATTCGAGTTATACAGCCCTATTAATAAACACAGACTTGAGCAAGGTTAACTTTACTCCTAGTTTAAAGCTTAAAATATCTAATTTCAGTATTAATAAACATAGAGTAAGGAGGGAGTAAACTAATCCGAATCTACTCTCGAAATAAAAGTTAATCCTTGGCGGTACCTAGTTTAACGACTGAGTAAGCATTGACTAGTCGCGTATTTTGACATTTTGTAAAACTTTACGTTTACGCGCGTTGTTACCCGTGTTAAATTCATAAGTTGTAAGCACTAGTAACAAAAACAGCATAATGGATTAAAATGCCAAGAAGTGATGTGGAGCAGAACAAAGTGATTGCAGGTTTTTATTCATTATGTGGATTTAGACAAGTGATTGGGGCTATTGATTGCTACATATTCTAATCACGAAAGTCGCTGGAAACATCGGACAATACTACATAAACAGGAAAGGATACAGTTCAATTTATTTTAGTTATTTTCTCAGATTCAATACAATCACCTCAATCTATTACTTCATATTAAAGAAGTTATGAGTGATTTGTTCCAGGTTGTGTCAAATGCAAATTTAGAGTTCATGGATACAGTGGCACATTGGCAAGGCAGCACACATGACTCAAGAATATTTAATTATCGTCGCACGTCGTCGTTGTAGAACAATGCTTTGGAGGGAAGCAAAGGTTTCGGTGTTTACTGCGAGGACTAAATACTAAATAAGAGCATACAAAACCATATATACATTGCAATGCAAAAGCAAGATCTGCTTGAGGATGTAGTATAAGGAGATGATGAAAATATATCAGTCACACAATTATTAAATAACTCCGTTAGAGGAAATTCTGTTCGGGCAGCACTATTAACGATTTTTTAAATAAATATACAATAATTACATGTAAGTACAAAAGATTTTATTTATCCCCAAAACACTAAACAAAAATGGTTATTTAATTAATTTTGCCCTTCACGCTCTTTTCTTAATTCTAAATTTTCGTTACAAATAATATTAAAAATTATTATATTTAGAACTTAGTTTTTCCACCGATTTCAAAAACAACACGAGGAACAAGGAACAACCCGTAACATTTATCTCTTGTCAAACTCAAAATATTGCCTGTCACTGTCATTAATGTCATCATCAAGCATTGAATTCATTCACTAATCATTCACTGACTCACTCTTTTTTACTTTTAAAATAAGTGGGTTGCCATAGCGCAAGTCTTAATCCCGGCGTAAGGAATGTATAGTTAGTCCGAGGTTACTCCATGCTTATTAATAACATTGTAATAACGAAGTAAATAGTCAGTTACTCTGAGATTAGCTAGTCCAAGTGTAACTTCGAATTAAGCTTGGAATAAGCAATTTTTATTAATAAGGCGGATAGAGTATAAATATCTATTATCAATATTTCTCATGCAAAGTCTAATAATTCGAGATACCGCGTATTTAGGGGTTCAGCGGAAGGGAATGGCAATTTTTTTCGACTTACTGATTTCAACTTAACGAGGTTCGAGTTATAGAGATTCCACTGAATATCATAACACACATATAATTTTTAAGTAGAGCGTGTCTATCAGCAACTTAATATTACCAACTTTTTAAGTTTATATGTGAACTATATAATAATATAATTATTTTTAAATGTTATTTATAATCTTATCTATGGTTTCGAGTAAACTTAGTGATCATATACTCTTTGGTTCTAAGGCGTCCCTCTAAATATTAGTATATTCTTTGGCGCAGTCTAACAAGGAGACATTGACGTTAGGGATGCTCGATGTTACAGAAACATCGATGTTGATATCGATAGCTTAACATCGATGTTTGATGTTTATCCTACTCAAAACATCGATGTTGGCCATTATCAATGTTATAGCTCATGTACCTATTTAGTAGGTTAAAATTAGATGAACAAAAAGTGTCCCCAACAAGTCCACCGCATTGTGGAATATATCCTCAGCGGTTTCTATCCTCGTCGTCATAGGACCATCGCGGTTTTTTCGATATAGCTAAAGCTTTCGATAGAGTCTGGCACACAGGCCTCATCTACAAGCTCTATAAAATAGGTCTCCCCGATCGTCTAGTTCGTCTCGTGGCCTCATACTTAAAACATCGTACCTTTCGTTTTAGACACGAAGGCACGCTATCCTCACAGTGAACTATCAAGGCTGGTGTCCCTCAGGGCTCAGTACTTGCTCCTCTGCTGTACATCCTGTTCACCAACGACATTCCCATCCCGTCGAAAGGTGTTCAACTCTCCCTCTTTGCAGATGACACTGCCATCTACTGCAAAGGTGTCTCACTACCCTTTATACGGAACAAGATCCAAAAGTCAGTTGATGACCTAGGAGCTTGGTTCAAAAAATGGCGCATCGATGTGAATCCGGAGAAGAGCTCCGCCGTTCACTTCGATTATAAACGACGCCGTCTCAAAAACACTCCACCAATACGTATGCTAGGGACCCCTGTCCCCTGGCATACGTCCGCCAAATATTTAGGTGTCACTCTAGACACAGGGCTCACTTTCAAGCCCCACGTCAATAAAGTAACCCGTCACGCACGATTTTATCTGAGTAGGCTCAACAGCATGTTGGGCCGACACAGTAAAATGTCCCTTCGAAACAAGCGTACCCTTTACAAGGTCTGTATACGACCAGTCATGTCCTACGCGGGCCCCGTCTTTGCCCACGCTAACCCTAATATTTTAAATGAACTCCAAATAGTTCAGAACCTCTTCTGTCGTCGAGCTGCGAACGCACCTTGGTACGTCCGTAATGCCGACCTACATCGGGACTTAGAGCTCCCAACAATCCAACAATTTCTTAAAATACTCTCTGAGAACTTCTTCAAAGCCTCAGAGTCGCACCCAAACCATTTAATTCGTGAGGCAGCTTCTTATGCAGCCCCACCGCTATCGCTATCGTGTCCGCAGGCCGAGAAACTCTCTCTCGGACCCGCCTAATAAACTTTCAAACGACCTGAACTGTCTCCTGGCGGCTCAGGCCAACTCTAATTAAATAAAATTATTGTAATAACTAACATTAAATTGCCTTCGTAGGCACTCCCTCAGCGGCACTTAGCCGCCTGCGCCCTCTTTTCCCAAAAGAGGGTCGCTCATGATAAGGCACAATAGAGCTTAATCAGCCGGTTGCCTGTCCCCAAAGGCGGTTTTTAGAGGGTATCACTTAGGGTCCCCGGTAGGACAGTGAGCCCCTCATAACCACGATAGACCGGCTATCGTGGTATGCGTAATGCATTTTCCGCCTCCCTACGTATAGGGTAGCCCTTTAATTGCTTCGGGCGCAAAAAAAATGAACAAAAAATTAGTAGTGTTGTTTATGGTTTATTATTAATGAAATTAAAGAAATTAATAAAAAATTTAGTGTGAAACAGTAATTTGAAAAATGGGAAAAAGCCGAACAATACTTAGTTAATTTGTTATATTTTTTGCCGATAATGATGAATATTATTATTTTGATATTTAAATGTTCCTATACAAATTTAAATCTGGTATTAAAAATTTACTATCCTAATTTACGATTTAGACGTAGGTTTTATATTAACTACTATCGCGAAATAAAAAAATGATTATAGAGGGAAAATTAACAAACTTCACAAAAACAAAATAATTGACTTTTCACACAATTTTTAATCAGGCAGCCCAAGCAGTAAGTATCCACAGCCGTTTATAAAAGGCACTATAGAATGCACTATGCACTGAAATTGTCTATGCTCACGATCGCCCAGTGATTTACTTTCGTAAACTTCAAGCAAACAATAAACTTGTTATCCGAAGCTCAAAAAACAGCTAAATATAATTATATTAGTGTAGATACATATTGTTTCAAAATGATGTGTGTATAGACAGTAAGGGAAAAAACAAAGCGAAAGCAGTTACAACTGAGACATTACAGTTCTCACTTGACAGCATTTAGGAATCCTTAATTATTAAAAATTTTAAACCTTTTATAGGAGATAAAATATTTAGTTGATATTGATTTCGCGTGTTCGCATTGTTCACAAGTTCTTATTAATCGATTATTGGTTCATTGACATCGATGTTTGACATGTGGCAACATCGATGTTTCGATGTTTAACGTATGGTAACATCGATGTTAAAACATCGATGTTTTAATTTCTAACATCGATGTTCATCGAACATCGATGATCATCGAATATCCCTAATTGACGTCTCCATATGGAGACGCCGGGCTTTAAAGGGTTAATTAAGCGAAGTGTCAATAAAATTTAATAATGCTGGTATATTATGATTAAAAGAGTTGTATATAATAATATTAGTAATTTTTTTCATTTTAAAATTGCAAAATCAAGTTGTTTTAATAACAAACGTCTCTACAATCATAAAAAAAATATGAAGGTGTGTAAATTATAATCGTTTGGTTTAAGAGGTTAACGTCGAATTCAATAATTCTCATTCAATTTATCTGCTATTATATTCATTAATATTTTGCTTATTAATATTATTCATTGTCAAATGATGTGATTTACAAAAAAATTAAACCACCACGTTTATCTTATTTTAAAATTTAACATAAGCTAAACGTGGTTAAAGAATATAACTTATTCTCACTAGTTTTAAGAGAGTTGATTTTTTTGTATAAAGTTAATTTCTTTTTGGGACTATCCTTAAATTTACAGATTTAGATCTCATTTGCTAAAGTTTAAATACATAACTCCTAAAATAAATAACTTCTATTCACTTCATTCTAAACTGCATTCTTTTAAGCTCCTATGTTAGAACATTAAAATACTGAACTCATTGATTTCGACCTTTCACTTTCCCATATTTCGAAATTAGACCTGTTAGCATCCATTTGAAGCTCTGTGTTATTATTTACTTGTTATTTTAGGATGACTAAGGATTCTTTTAAGTCTCAGCAAAAAATTTTATTACCCATACTAAGATAAAATGAATAGGGTGGTTTACTCCTTTTACCGACACCTATAAAATTTCAGTGAAGCAGTTATTGTTTTAGAAGCAATTTTTTGCGCAAAAGTGTACTAAAGAAAATAATGTATTTTTTACAGACTTATATTTCTTAACAAAAATAAAATAATATAATTTGAAAAGAAATCCATATTCCTAATTATTTTGAAAAAAAGCAAAGGATATACTGTATTAGTGTTCTTGCTAAAATATTAACTTAAAGTTCACTTGGCTACTAAGTCACAGTGACATAGATGACATAGAAACTTGATACCTTGGCTAATTAAGCATCTACCTACAAGGCTAATGCATTTAACAACTTAAACTCATGCCCTTATTTCTCTTGAGAAAGTCCATCAAAGTTCAGGTTGGAATTCTAATATATATATATATATATATATATATATATATATATATATATATATATATATATATATATAAAATGTAAAATCTATAACAAAATATTATGTAGAAATTCAACCCGATCCAATGTAAACCATTGTTTTTCAAATCCTAGAATCTAAACATCAGTTATATGTAGAATAAGATTACGGCACACTTGTTATCTATGCAAAACTTAAGCTTTGACTAGACAATATAAGATATAATTGACTGTAATTTTTCAATTTTCATCACGATTCACCATATATTTTTCTTTCGTAAATCTTAACCTTATGACAGAAAATAAATGTTGCATTCTACTTAATATACCTTTATTAAGTAGAAACGCAATATTTAATTAAATATTAATTTTTAATTAGTTTTGGAAGTAAGCTTGAATCTTCTTAATTGGGGAAACAAGTTCCTCAATCTGATTGCTTTGACAAAAAAGGAGGAGGGAAAAGTAAGTGAATAAGCAGTCCTTAAATGAGGTTATCACATTTTTGCCACTTACGAGTAGTGTGGATGTCCCTAATACCAGCCACGCCCCTAATTCAAGCCCTTTCGCCTTTTTACTTCGTAAATAAGGTTTCTAGTAGTCTTCTCTACAAATATTGTTATCTAAAAATTATTTGTAACTGGAGGAAAGCATGTTTCAAATATTATCACACAGTTATAAATCTAACAGTTTTAATTTAAAAATCAAAATGCATATTCAATGGAAAGCATTCAATTTTTTGTTGTGGTCTTGATTGCAGCAGTCTATGTCAATTAAATTATAAGAAATTGATGTGCTTCATTTTTTTTTTTCATAATTTTCTTTAATTTATTGTTTAGTTTTAAAAGAAAGATCAAACTGCTTAAAACTAAAACACAGTAAGGTAAGTAGTAAAATGTTAAAATAAAATAATTGTTGTCTGTATTTAATATGTATTCCATGCTTGTGGTGTGCATGATTCAAAATTAAAAGTTGTTATTGTGCTTCTAAAACTTTCCAACAATGGGTACACCTACCAAAAACAACCTTGTGCTATGCTGGCATTAGGTATACAAAAGGACGATATTCTGTGCAGGCTGAAATTTGAGCTATAACATTTTTAGCTTAGCGTCGTTTTTAAAATTCTCATAATAATACAATTGTAAATAAACATTCATTACTTTTTTGGATAAATAGCTTATCAATTAAAACAAAGGTTAAAAATATTTATTTGAAGTAGTAGGAATTTTGAAAGTTGAAATTGGTACTAAATGGCTAATAATAGTAGGGGGGAGATGGTATCCACCCTATGTTCATTTTTTTTATAGGATGGGGTGACAAACGAACACACAGTCCATCTGATGGTAAGTGGTTGCTGTGGCCCATAGACATCTACATCTGTCCTCGATTACGAATCAAGATGCGTATGCGTTGTCACCCATGAGGACTAAGATGGAATGCCTCGTTTCCAGTAAAAAGGGTCACCGGTTCTCTACACTCACCATACGAAACTCAGTAGCATAAAGCTACTATTTGATGCTGGTATTCTGTGAGAGCGTGGTCCCTCCCCGGTTGAGCCGACCCATTTGTGCTACAACTATACTACTAATATAACTGCAGCATGGCTCTACCACATAAAAAAAATTTGTTATACTTGTTTAGGTAATTTTCTAAAACTATTTGAATTTGTCTGAAAATAACTTTTATCTTTGTAACATAGAGTACCCATCACCCCATCCATGGAAACTTCGTAGCAAAAATTAATCTGACAATGTGTGACTTAACGTGTATTATTATATATTATTGACTCTGGCTCACCAGTTGTACCATAATTTTTTTTAATTTGTCTTGTTTCATTTCTATGAATAAAGTGATTATAATATGCTTTTTCCTTTTTTTTTCAGATCGGTACTCATGATGGTGTTTTTCATTGTGACGAAGTTCTCGCTTGCTGTATGCTTAAACGTCTTCCTGAGTATGAAGATGCTGATATAATTCGGACCAGAGATATGACGAAGTTAATTGATTGTGACATAGTTGTTGACGTTGGCGCCGTTTTTGATCACTCGAAGAAGCGTTATGATCATCACCAGCGAGAGTTTAATGAAACTTTAAGTACATTGAAACCAGAATTGGGAGAGAGGTATAAAGTCAAGTAAGTTTGTTTATCCTATACACTCATTATCATCATTAAAGCCTATCAAAGTCCAATGCTAAACGTAGTCCATCATAGCTTTTGTATACATGTTTTTTTTATATAGAATAAGGGTGATAAACGAGTACACAGGCCACCTGATGGTAAGTGGATACTGTGACACAGCAATCTACATTTATTCTTAACTAAGAATCAAAATACAGATGCATTGTCAGCCCTGAGGACTAAGATGAAATGCCTGATTATCAATAAAATGGGTCTCCTTTCCTCTACACTCACCATATGAAAGACAGCAGCATTAAACTGCTATTTTATACTGGTATTCTGTGAGAGTGGTCTTACCCCGGCCGAGACGACTTAACCATAATATAGCTGCAGCATGTAACACATATTGTCACCTTTATCATGTAAAACCAGGTATTTTACACCATGTAAAATAAAATAAAAAAATTCATGATAGATTTTATAAAAAGTAAAGGAGAAATATTGATTTCTGTTTATAAAATTGCATTAAAATTTTATATTTCAATTTTAAAAATATTTTTTTCATCAGTGCCTCACATCTGCAAAATGCTGTCTGCCATATTAGATACTGTTGTGACGTCACTGATGCCGCCTAATATTAGTGTTCTGTGTCACTAATTAAGAAAACTAGCTAAGGTGCTGTGTTGTTTCGAAGTTTTTCAAGTTATCATTACGATTATTGAGTTTTATTCCGAATTCTATTGAAAAGGCATCATGGAAGATGAATTCATAAAAGCAGAAAGTACTAATCTACCAAGGATAAATAAATTGATGGTGGCAAAAATTTTTGCATGCAATCCCAATTTTTATTCTGCTAAGTTCAGGATTGTTAAAACATTGATATAAATACCTATTACCAACTTTTGTTTATACAAAAACAATGAACCAAAAACCATGTAATTTATTACAAAATTTGACTTGCGATACCCTTTACCCCATGATGTTTTGTGCACAAACATGATTTAGATGATGATTTTGAACACAACAATGATTTAGATGATAACTCATTATATTATTCCTTTGCAAAATTGGCCAAATCGATTGTGGTGATGTCACGAGTTGAACAGCATGGCGGCTAGCGTTTTCACGCGAATTAAAACGATAGATTAAAAGTAATATTTATGGCACTAATTCAGTTTTAAAAATTATATAAAAATTATAGTGGTTCATTATCACTTTAGGATTTGTTTAAAACAATTTTTGAAAATGGGTGTAATACCGTATTGTTTCTCTGAAACAATGCCAACAATTTATATGAGATTTTGTATTAAGATAATGTTTTACTTTCAAAGATTATCTAGATAGGCTTTATTCCAGAGATAATATTTTTTTCTAACGTCGAGCAAACTCTCTTCGGTACTTAGATTAATATAAAATGAAAAGACTTGTTTTGAAATAGCTAATAGGGTTTGAGTAAAAGTTACCACATTATTAAAACAAATTGCTGTAAGTATTGAGTGATCTTATAGAATCCATATTATTTTCTTTCTATTGGTATTTTGTTGATATTATAATGTAATATTATAATGACAAAAGAACTACTAGTCTTATAGGTAAACAGCTATTTCAGCACATGCAGATGTTTTTTACACATGTGACACTATGTTTTACAGAAATTACTGATCACTAAAAACTTTCAATAAAATGTAAGAGCTGAATTTCCACATAATAGCATAAGAAAAAATAATTACGTAGACTTAATTACGTAGAAATAATAATATAATAACTAAACAGTTGTTTTTGAGAGATTTGAGTTTACAACCCTACCTTTACAGCCTATTTAATTACACTGCAGAACATAGACCTCCTTTATTGCCTCACAGGAGGAATATTTGCCATAGTTGCCACGTTTGCCAAGTAAGTTGGAAACTGCGGTTTTTTATTTTTTAGTTGTTTTTTATTGTTTAGTTGTTGTAGGAAGACATTGCTGCTTGATTTGTTTCCCTATGTGCCCACGTGTTGATATGGAGTATTGGATATTCTTTCACTGCCTATATATGGTAAACTAAAAGAAAGGAGTATATTTGTATCGAATCATCTTGTATTCTATTTTCTTCGTTAACCTGTAAAAGTCTACTGCTGGAGAACGGCCTCTTCTATTTTAGAAAAGATTTGTTTTAATTGTCATGCTAGACAGGCAGCATTGACCATCGTAGTATTAGATATCTGCGGTCTCTCACTTTTGTCGCTGCTGTTACATTATTTCTCGCTTTTCTTACTTCATGTGTAAAAATAATCAGTAGTATATTTTATTAGTAATTTATTATTAGTATCAGACACAATTTTAAATTGGTTTGTCCTCTCAGTCCCCTTAAAATTCCCATGCAGTCGCATGCGTCCGTCAAATCCCAAGCGGTCGCATGCGACCGCACCTCTCACACAGCTCTTTAAACCATTAAAACTTATATTTAGAGACTACTTTTCTATGAAGAAGTTTGGCATTATAAAATCTATACAAAACTCTAAATAAAAGTCAAGTTTTACTTCATTACAAAAAAGTCTATTATATTTTGATAACAAAACATACCAAGCAAATGTCGGCAGCGTGAAAATCACAATTATTTCTATATATATTACTCGAAATTATTTACGTAAAAAGATAAATTACATTCACACCAAAAGTTTCATTACAATTTTTTAATAAAACACTAATAAAACAAGAAAAATCCAAAAATCAACCCAATAACATTCACGCGAAAATGGCGTACGAAATGAACGTAGATTATAAATAAATGTTTTTATTACACTAGAGTATAGAAAATTTCATATTAATTCTATAATGCCAAACTTCTTCATAGAAAAATAGTCTCTAAATATAAGTTTTAATGGTTTAAAGTGCTGTGGATGTGCGCGGTCGAATCCGACCGCTTGAATTTTGACGGAATAGCGCTGCGATCGAATTCGACCGCTTAGAGATTGAAGGGGTACCAGTTATAGTAATTTTTTCTTCAATTTTATTTCAGACTCAGCTCTGCAGGTCTTGTGTATGCTTACTATGGTGAAAGAGTAATTCGCACTGTTGAACCTAAGGATGCACCATTAACTGATGAGAATTTGAAAGTCATTTATAAAAAGGTTTATGAAAACTTAATAGAGGAGATAGATGGCATAGACAATGGTGTTCCAATGACTAAAGAAGAGCCGCTGTACAAAATCCGTACACACTTAAGCGCACAAGTTGGTAGATTAAATCCAGAATGGAATAGTAAACAAATAATTAACGTCGATGAAATTTTTAAAAAAGCAATGGATTTGGTTTTAAAAGAATTTCTTTATACAGTCAACTATTCCATATCAGTTTGGTTGCCAGCAAGGGATTTCGTTAAATCTGCTTTAGAAAGGAGATTCGAGGTGCACGGTTCAGGGCAGATATTAGAGTTTACAGAAAGATTCCCCTGGAAGGAGCATTTGTTTGATTTGGAGACGGAAATGGGCATTGGACATGAAATCAAATATGTACTTTTCAATGACAAGCCGAAATCATGGAGAATACAAGCGGTGCCTATTGATCCGATTAGCTTTGTATTAAGGTATGTCGTGTAAGAGAATCAACTAGACTATTTCGTCCTGTGGGTGAAAATGAGAAAATGTCAAACTAATCTTATAGCTTCCGATAAATTCGTCTCAGTTATGCTAGTCGTAATACTCTCTACAGTCTAAATACTCAGACTGGCGATGATCAATCGTCAAAGGTCGTCAACCTGGTTGCCAATCGTTATGATTATGGCAAATCCTTACACTGGCAGATGCTTATATCCAGTATTGAACTTTTATGGGCTGATGATGATGATAAAGGTAAGTCAAGAAAGCTATGGTAGCGCAGAGTATAAATTGTTCATGTACAATGACCAAATTGTTCCCCTGACAGAATTGTTAATTGCAATGCTATTTATTAATTTACTTCATGCTTGGTGTTGAAGAAATACATCTTCAGGAAACCAGCATGTTGAAGAAAGGTTGGTTATAATTTAAAAAACATAGGTTTGCACGCTGGATTTTTTGACCCTAAAATCTTCTCAAAAATCATTTTAAGTCATGTATATTCATAATAATGTC